GGAATCATTTTAGGTTTAGAACACTTTAAATTTCATCGCAAACACGCGACATTATTATATGGCAAGCATCACTTCCGGTGAAATGGCGGACTGTGATTGGCTGAAAAGCACTTTCAGCGGTCCATTATTTTCCCGTACGTAACCCATGCATTTTAAAACAAAACAGCAAAACTATTTGAAATTTGAAAGTATAAATGCCCATAAATGCCGTATAAGAAACGTTTTATTAACCTCGCTTGCTCGGTCTTTACAGAAGTATCGGGCAAAAAAGACCTCGGTCCGATATTTCTCTGTAAAGACCTTGCGTTCGGTTAATAAAAAGTTATTAAAAAAATTACCGCTTAAAAATTATTGTGCTGACAGACAAACACACACAGTCAGGCACACACACACACATACAAACGCAGATGAAAACTTTCCTCCGTCAATTAAACTAAACTTAAACTAGACACAACAAGCTCATGCATTGGGATGTTGGCGAAGCTTTGCATGTTAAACATAGCATCCTGGCGACTTCTCAACTAGGATTGCAAGTTTGAATTGACCTTATCAAAATGGATTCCATACAGCATTGGATATTCGTACCTGTGTTGTCGTGACAAATGCACCGTAGAGTTCTCCTTCTTGCTTGAGTATATCGTCTGTGTACTGAGCCTCACCAGAAGCCTATAAATATAAATATACAGGTACACATGCATTTATACCTTTGAGAAGAGCAACCACGTACATCTTAAATCTTGGTTTTATCATGCACCAATGTATCGTACATAACAAGATTACATGATCAACTTGTTAATTACTACCAATAACTTATTGGCACGAATATTTGGACTTGCATGGTCTTACTCTATAAGATAATTAACGACCATACTTATGTCGATGGAAGTGCTCTACCAAGAATAGCTGGATCCGGAATAACCAGACGTGAAAGAAACGAAAACTTGTTATGTTTTCTTTGCCAGGTTTGAACTATAGAAGTGGATACAGTACCCACACCGGATCCCAATATTTAAACATTATGAAATAGAATACAACCGTTCGGAAAATACGTCACCTTGGCCGCAGAGTCTCGTTTTCGTGCATATGTGGTGTTAGTTTGCTCCATGGCTGAGGTGTACTTTCCGGAAGCGTGTATTGAAACAAACTATCTGTTTCATATCTCAGAGGACGGTTCTCACATTTAGGCAAGTCAAGGCTAACTGGCTAAGTTTACCTGTAATTTTGCTGTGGTTTTCGTCATAGGTTTAGTCAAAGGATATTCACTTGGTGTTGTACCAAAACTCTGTTGACCTGACGATATTGGTCGCACATAGGGAACAGCAGCTGAACGTACTCTCTCACTTGCTTTCTCACCAAGAAGCGTAAGGTAAAACTATTATCAGAAAATAGCTATTAGTGACATTTAAATTTTAGGTTTTTCGATGAAGCCGCAAACGGCAAGGAACCACGTGACTATGTCTAGCGGTTGCGTTGGTCGTATATTTTACCACGGCGCTTATACAGTGGGCGATGAGACGCACATTATATACAACCTCGTTCCCAGGCTATTTGCTCTTGGGAAGCAAAGACCCTGGTCGGAGCTGGTCACGTGACGCATTGAAAATTGATAGCCCAAGAGGGGGGTGGAAAAGTCTCATATTACATGTTTCCACTTTCGCACTTTGATTGCAAGGAGTGGCCGTTCTGTACAATCATTAATTCATCTTCAAGAATCATATATACCTCAAGCTACTTGCTAAATTGGTTTCAGTTTGCTTTTAAATTATACAAACATGCTAAAATGCAGATTCTTATGGCAACAGAAAATTCAGGAAATCGAGCAACGAGAACATATGACTGTACGCTTTGAAATATTCGTATTTTCTCGGGGTTCGCCGGTTCGGGCGTAGTTTTATTTCACGCATACGTTTCTGTTGTGGCTCTGATATTTATAATATGCTTATAATATGCCAATGAATTGTTCTGATATGGACATGGTATAAATTTTGTTAAACAGATGTCTCGAAAGCGACTGTTTATAGGTCGTAGGATTAGGGAGTATCTATTTGGAGCGGGTAGCGGGTCGCGGGTCAAAGGAGCGGGTCGCGGGTAAAAGGAGCGGGTAATTTGAAAAGGAGCGGGTAAAAGGAGCGGGTAATTTCCCAGGCGCTAAGCGCCGGTGGGGAATTTTAAAGCAAAAAAGACATTTTTTTATGAAAGTGTAAACAACATGAGGACTATTTTTACAAAGTGAATTAAACCATTGATTTCACATAAAAATCTCGAAAATTCTATCAAATGTTAAATTGACAGATATTTAACAGCCTGAACATGTCTTGCTATGACGTGCTGAAAATACGTACAATGCACTAACGCAACGTTTTTGGGTCATCTTAAATGGACAAAAATTATTATAACACAAGTGCTACTCAAAAATCTACAGTCTGTCTCGGCGATTGCCTCTCCGAACTGTGGTTATGCACCACTAACTCTATAGAGCAAAGGAAACTATAAACCATTTTTTACTATAAATTTATCGGAATTTCAAGTTTTTAGCCATCCGGATTTTACGCGTTTTAAGCGTATTTTTGTTAACCTATAATTAGTCTAAACCAGTGAGCTATAAGAAAACTGGAACGATAACTCCGGAGATCGAGTCCTATGATTGGTTAAAGCCAAATTTGAAGCCAAGCTGGGGAGGCCAGCGGGATAAACTAGCTTTCAAAAGGACTAGAGAGAGCTTCAAGGAGCAGGAAATTCAGTCAAAAGTTTGTTTTCGAGCGACAATTAGCAAGAAAAAGTACTTTTTAATCAAAAGGTTTCAACTTTAACATTCAAACCTGGTTTCCGGGATGGTATTTTACATCCACTAGCAGCAAAAACTTCCTGGGTAACAGTTTGTTATTCAAAATATTACACAAGTTTAAACGTGCCGAAAAAAACTTCGCACTCTGACTCCTGAGAAAACGACTTTAAAACTGCTCTACGTTCTGGAAACACGTTTTGTATTAAATTTTAAGTATTGTTGAAAGTTTTTAGCTTTTCTCCTTGTTGAAATACAGCTATTTAGTGCTCAAAAACAGATGTCTTTCCGGCGGCGTACGTACATGCCTTATACGTACATGGCGGCCATCATGAGTGGCAAATGATTAAAATGATTCTATTGGCAATTGTTGAAATAGTTGAATAAAAACATGGAACATACCTTTAGAATAAAAAGAACTAATTCTTTCAAATAAAGAGGTTAGGATTGATGAATGATTTGAACGATTATAAATGCCTTCACAGTAAATCTCGAGCGTCGTCCAAGAGAAAGCAAACAGGCTCAAGTGATTGCCGAGGCGCACCTGGGAAATGACCCGCTCCTTTTTTAATTACCCGCTCCTTTTTTTAATTACCCGCTCCTTTTTTTAATTACCCGCTCCTTTTTTTAATTACCCGCTCCTTTTCTTAATTACCCGCTCCTTTTTTTAATTACCCGCTCCTTTTTTTTAATTACCCGCTCCTTTTTTTAATTACCCGCTCCTTTTTTTAATTACCCGCTCCTTTTTTTAATTACCCGCTTCTTTTTTTAATTACCCGCTCCTTTTACCCGCGACCCGCTCCTTTTACCCGCGACCCGCTACCCGCTCCAAATAGATACTCCCGTAGGATTAGCGCCTTGCCGGTCTTAAACGTGACACATTTGGACACAAGCCAAATACACATTGTGAATGTCCACAGTCCATTCTATTGATTCTAAAACTGTTTATAGACATATTGCTCTAGATTTTTTTTAAATGGCTATCATCGTTTATATTAAACACCAGGAAGACAAAATATAACGTACAAAATTGTTTGAAATCGACAGTGCACAGCTGACATACGACAATTCATAACTGCAAGAATTTCCTTTTTTGTCTGCACGAGTACCTGTTTGTTGAAGCCAAAATATTGCACAGCATCTCCTATAAATTCTATCGCCATTTACCCTCTCCCCTTAAATGCAAAGGAATGACAGCCGAAAAGGTTTAGCAAAGTATTTTTTATTATATCTGGTAAAAGTGTCCTACGTTTTATCAGGGACATACATAATTCATAAACTGTATATGCACACGAAGTCTCGCTTATATTAATGAGTTTTACTGTAGCAAACCTTCTAAAGTTTCCATTGATAGATAGGTTGTTTGCCTCCAGTATTGTTTGGTAAAACAGACTAAACTTCTAAAATGTCGATTCCAGTATACGATAAAGATTAAAGTTGATTTAAATATTGATAACTCACAGCGGCATTAATCCATTATACTTGCAAGTCTAAAGAAGCTGGATTATTCTTCAATAAAGCCCTCAATGGACAATGCCAATGTCAATGAAAGGTCTAATATTATACATGTTGCAAATTACTGTATATACAAAATATGAAATAATTTATATAAAGTACAATACCAGTGTCTGGTACATATATCGTCCTAGATATTCAAGTTGTACCGCACGCACGGAAACGCATGTACGGAGGCTTGGCGTTTGTGTGATAACAGATAGCTAGCTACACTTCGACATTATCTTTCTTGATCGTTGAGTTTCAGCAATGTAAATGAAATGAATTTTATAGCCAGTCCATAACGGGTTTTAATCCTGTGCTTTTACAGTCAGAATAGCACTATTGTTTACACATGCATGTTGGCGATGTTTGGGAAATCAAAGACAAAGGATCCCGTTATAAAATAAATCTTTTGTTTTGAATATCGGACAGGATACACTTCAACTATAAAGAACCACATCGTTCGTTTAATACCGTTTGATCGATCAGTCTGTGTAGAAGATATGTATGTTTCTACGGCGATACGTGCTAAACTTCGCAGGCCAGGCGCGTGTGGAGTGTTTTCCTTGCAAGTGAAATATGATCCAGCTTCTCGCTTGAAATGTAACGCAACACTTATTATTGATGGCATTCAGTATAGCAGGAAGTCTTGTCATGATCGGTACGAATTTAGAACAGTTCCTTTCACAATCTCTTGTTGCAAATTACATTTTTATCACCCGAAATTATAACACATAAAGTTGCAATTTTCCAAACGCAACAAACAGACTACTCTCCTACCCCTCCCTGAGATCAAATTCAATTTACCCCCAAAATCTGGGGGTTCACGTGACCAGCTCCGACCAGGGTCTTTGCCAACCTCGTTCCCAGGGTCTTTCTTAGAACGGCGCGAGGCGAAGGAAAGACCCTGGTTTCGGCTGGTCACGTGTCACCCAGATTCTGGGTGATAAATTAAAATGATACTATGGGCAGGGTGGGAGAGGAGCGTGTTTGTCGCGTTTGTAACAATATTTGCAATTTTGTGTGATGAAATTTAAATTTGCAACAAGAAATCGTGAAGAGAACTGCAATTAAAAATTAATATTTATCGTGATGTGACTTTCTGCTCTATAATCTAGTGTCGAGTTACAATTCAAGCAAGTTGGATCAGATTTCAACTTACAAAGAAAGCACGCCTGGGCGGCGTGGCAATATTAAGCCTACAAGAAAATTCATATCTCTAGACTGACCAATGTGGTTTATATTTATTTAACTGTTAGTATTAAAGTATATCCTGATACTCGGACCAAAAGAATATATTTATTGATGAGATGTGGAATTGGAACGAAATAGCGAGATCTTTTGATTTCCGAAATATCGCCAAGACGCCAACTGTATCGAGATTGTTGATTATGAAGGCCTTATCACAAAACTTAAATCCCGTCAAAAGACTATAAAATTTCCTGCAAGATCTCAACGATCATGGTATATGTCAAAGTCTAGCTGTCTGTTGAAAATCTACGGTATTACAGTAAAGTCATACATCAAAGATAAGTCAAACGACAATATATTTGTCTTACTGTTTACTACTGTGTTTATACCACATTTATAAATTTTATAAACTGCTTTCGTTTTGACACAAGCTTTAATTTTCTGCTTTATATATATTCTTAATAATACAAGTGAGATTTAAATTTTTTGCTTTGTGAAATAGAATACCGTTATTTTTTAATGGACAGCTTGTATCGTCTCTATCATATCCAGGATTGCTTGTGTGTAAATACTATAGTATAGCCTACATGTATCACTATATATGCCACTATCAAATAAATATAGAAGTATAATTTTAATGAACATATTGAACTAGAAATAAACAGATGATTGAGACACAATGAAAACTGTTAGTAGCCTTAGTAGAAGTAGAAAACTCGAAAATTTATGTGTATTCGTATGGCAGTCTGTGGGCGTCTGACACTGTAAATTTGTGATGTAGATTATAGCCTAGTTGTGTGCATATTAGGAAAACATTATCTGACCAAGAAAAAGGCTAAAGCCTTACTATAATTAATGAATACGAATTATGTACTAAATCCAAAATTTTAAAGATAAATCAC